TTGCTTATGGATTAAACTTTAACGATGTGCCCCACTGACAGATGTGGAGAAACTGTTTTAATATGCCCAAAAGTTTAGTTTCAGGAAACAAACTCGTACAGAAACAGAGTCATTATCTGGATCTATACTTTGAGAAGAAAAAGAACACACATACTATCAGGGGCATTGACGCTGAATCTGCAGTAAATGTAATCTGAAAACTAATTCTGTATGTTTTGATCCCATGTGATGCTGCTGCTGAATGTAATTTGATGAACAGCGTGATTAGATGCTATTGGATATGATGAATAGACTTGAAACAGACGTCCCCTGGAAGCTATCGGGTCGGCTGGATCGATATCTGCACACTGAGCTGACAAAGTAGTACAAACTCCACTCACTTTAGAAGAGAGTTTCACTGTTAAGTGACATGTAAGGATCCTTTTATCTTTGTGAGTTCAGGTTATACTTTCTTATCAGACTGTGTGAACCCTAATTCCTTCTAAAATTAGAACACGTAATTTCTCTGTGAGCTTTAGATAAGGAAAAGGAAAGTAATTGCAGATTAATTGGACATTTTTTAAACTGTATTTTTACTGCTGTGATTTATTCCTTTTACGCAAACACATGCACTCAGAAAGTATGCTTTGTAGGAACGGTTTAACTGAGTGAAATAACTGGGATGTATAAGTGGCAGCCATTATCAGAGAAAGTCTCTAAAAGCTAAGGAGAGGTATACTTCGATGCCTCCTTTCTGACATTTTCTTTGGCATAGGGTTAACATGAACATCAAAGGAAGATAGAAAATGTCATCGCACAATTCTTTATGCAGAAACACATCAGTTGCATACTTACTCAGCTTTGTGTAAGTGCAATATCATTTTGAAGCTGTTTTTATAAACGTTTTCCATCAATTTTAAGGAAAAGTGTATCTTTTTTTAAATTATTCGACCCCAAATCAACGCAGCTACGACATTATGCCACTGTTATGTTCCAAATTCCAATCAAATGTCACTTAAAATCATAATTAGTAAAAATACAATGACCTGAATGTCCTCATCAGCATGTAATCTAGTTACGAAGCGACACGCTCAGTACAAAAATGTTAATGAAATATAACTAAAATGGCCCTTCCATGATGAATTATGGAAGTGCAATTATGTAATAACATGTCAGTAGAGAAGGCTCATTTAAGTGAGACACGATAACTCAAATGATTCCAATAATCGTCGGTGGGAAGTCATTCAGCCTGACCCTATTCTTCAGATATGGGTTTAATTGCCCACAATATGAAGTGTGAGATCCCTGCACTTATCAAATTAACAGCTTCAGAAAAGGACAGTAAAATACTTAACGCTCATTTCAGGAGAATGAGTCATGCCAAAGGTAAGCTGTTTATCTGGTGGTGGGGGGGGGGGAGCAGGAGGAGGAGAGAGCAGGAGGAGGAGAGAGTGGAACATGATGTACATGCCAGTGTTAGTATGCGCCAGGTTATGTAGATATGGTTAAGGGTTTCCAGCTTCATATATCCTGATGGAAGAAGCTCTAAATTGATTTAAATGCTCATATTTTAATTTGAAAACAAATCAAGCTATAGCAGCAGAAATAACTCATTTGTGAATATGTTGCTCTGGAATGTGTTGCGTAGGCTACATAAAGAATGTACTGCTGGCACAAAACTGAAAAGAAAATATTACATTGAATATATATTTTATTTATCTTCTATTAAAGACTGCTCAAACTACAAAATGTAACAGGATTTCTTTACAATATATAATGCATTAACAATTCAATAATCAACATTGTATTAGGTATTTATTATTATGAAAACACAAAAATAACCAATTTAATCACACGTTATTTTCTAGATTGATATATTTAAAGGGGCCTTATTATGCTCATTTCAGGTTCAAATTCTGCCTCTAATGTAACATGTTTACACGCTTTAATGTTCAAAAAGCTCTCATGCTGCCTGCCTCTTTTCCCCCTCTGTCTGAAACCTCTGCGCTGATTGGTTAGCTGGCCGGCTCTGTTGTGTTGTGTTGTTCAACTGATTTGAGATGTCCCGCCCCTTAGCCATATCACGAGTGCTATAGCCAATAGAAGTGCGAGTGTTATGTAGTGAAGTCACTATGTTGCGGAGGTCAACAAAGGAGTCCGGGGGGGGGGGGGGGGGGGAGTTTTTGGAAGAGAAGATTTCAGCCTTTGCTGACCATTGACATCCACTAAGACCTATATAACACACTATGGGAAAGGGGAAAAACCAAAAAAGCATAATAGGAAAGGAGGAAGAATAGGAAAAGATGCATTATTTCTTTCTTCCCCCCCCCCCCTGCTGAGAGCCATGGGTAAAGGAATTCTGAGTTCTGATTAAAAACACTACAGAGAGGGAATAAGACACTTACGTCAGATACATGTTAAGTATGAGTGTGAACTTTAGATTGACTTTGCAGCTGCCAGACATGAGATTGACGTAAGGTTGGAAAAGGGCATCTGCTATGAAACGTTAAACTCCCTTTGTGCATATATGGAAGAAGAAGGCCAATAAACCCACTAAAGCTCTGCTCCTGCTTCTTATATAACTTTAAGCTTCTTTCAGAATCCCTTCCAACATCTCACGGTGACTGAAAAAAACCATTATCTTTATAAAACAGTCTTAAAGTGTGGTTCTTTTCTACAACTTCTTAAGCCTCAGATTCTGATTGTAAAGGGTGTGCGTAATAGTAGACACTGAGAAGCTTGTTAAAAATTCAACAGAAGATGCATCTGGGCTTGTAAAATGTATCAATATGGATTACAGTGTTCATACCATGCTGAATCCAACATATTAACAACACAACATATGTGTAACATATGCAACACATAGCGTATCAATTATGTTTACATTTGTCCGACTCTGTGTTGCTGACACCTTAACTGCTGTAACACTCACACATTCAGCCGTACACAGTTAAACATATACTAAGTGTACACAATTTGCTCTTGCCTGATGTTTTATTCATGGTAGCAAAGGTATATCCATTCATGAGCTATCATATTTCTCTGTAAGTCTCCTGTGCAGGTCTGCCTTGGCCTAGATAACAGGACGCCTGCCTGGAGGGGAGACACAACACCGCAGGAAGTAATAGAAGCTATCATAATGCTTAGCGGGAGACACGTCCAGCAGCCCTGTCAACTAGGGGGCGGAAAGAAACGTCACATGATGTTCAAGCGTTATTAAAAATAAGACGTTGAATAAGTCTTGCAATTAACACATCTAAAAAAAGTCATGTAGATCAGATTTAGCACCATGTTGGTGATTCATTCTGCCGAGATAAACAAGAGCAAAGTGTGTTGCCTTGAAGACGTTTTTATAAATAAGCATATCTCCATAATGAGCTGGGTGGCTTGAAATAAAGGCCTTGAAAAATGAAGTCATTCTTTCACTTGTTAAATGTGATTAATTATTAATGACTGAATCTTTGTTTTTGTTTTTTAAGCACTTTGTTTGAAGAATCAGATGTTGTTTAATCGTGAATAATGCTTTAAATCAAAGCAGCATAATAATGGTTTATTTCTATCACCCCTCCTAACAAATAACACTGATACATTGACACCTACATCTGTTTAATGAAAGCTCTGTGAGCAAACACTGAATGCAAAGGCTATTAAACCTGTTTGTTTCACAACTTTAAAACCATTATACCTCCCTGTGGGTCTTGATCTACAGCTGCTTTATGAGCAGCATATATTTGAAGAGGAGACAGGGGAGTCAATACATGATAACAGCTTCCCAATACATGATCAAACGTATTATCTTAATTGCTCTTATCACTTTGTCTTATTAAAACTTTGCCTACCTAGCTCTGCATTCAACATTTATCATTTCCCAACATTAAACTCTACTGATTCTGATCTCCCCCCTTAGCTTGTTTAATGACACCGGGGGACTTAACGGTCTATACCCAGACTTTATGATCCACCCCCATGTATTTATAGGCTTACAATATTGCACTAATAAAACCTTTTGTTCTGTAAAAGTGAATACTTATGGATCAAAATGAAGCAAATTCATCAGATGTTAAGTTCTGTTTGATACTGAAGCCAGAACGTTAGATACAAAAAAGATTAGTCCAGACAAAAGTCAGATAAGGTTCATAAAGCAGTACTTTTTGACTTTATACTCACTAGACGGAAGGTCCTTGGACATTTAGAAATGTTAATATAGCACATCCTTGCATTAGTAAACGAAAATAACCAGAAGTATATAGTGTAGCCTACTGAACACAGACATATAATGCGATCCATTTCCTTTTTTAAGACAACTATTTACTCATGTTTGCATGTCCTAAAGCAAACCTTTAATCTGAAGTTAAACCTTGCTCTTGGAGGATTAATGCACCATAAATCCTCTTTTAGTCCTGTCAGTGGCCCTATTCCTTTCCTGCGAAATCAGATTTGTCCATTCCAAGAGTACTTATGGATATAGGCCGATTTGAGTGTGTCCAGCAATAAGGGGGGCACTTAAAGTGTACTTCACATCCTGTAGTGGAAATTGTATTTTTTATAATATTTTCCCGTAGCGTAGCCTGATGCAGTTAAAGCATGCTGCAGCAAATGGAATTGTGATATCTGCCCCTGCAAGTCCGGTATGGATGGAGTTGTTATACTTTATCTGCGGGAAATCATTTCGGTGGCTATAGTGCATCCTTCCGAGGGACCTGCATGTTGCTACTTACATTTACTCCTCAGCTGCGGTGGCTTGAAGATTGTTGAACTCAAAACAAGGAACACATTGTGATCAACGACATGTAATCCAATCCTTGTTCTTGAATTGTTGATCGCATCACTGATTTTTTGTATTTTGGAATGCATTACGATCATATCAGATAACCTTCAGATAACATTGATAAAGAATGCCTTTTTTAATAAGCAATTTGACTGGCCTTACAAAAATAACTCGTCAGCCACAGGTGCATATTTATATCACCTTGTTCTTTATTGTTAATACAGAAACGTGTTCACTCATATTATATATATACCTGTAAAGGGGAAAATGTCTGTTCATCCTCGTTGAAACAGAAAACAAAAACGCATTGAACTCCCACAAGAATCAAAACTCCCCTCGTCCACCCAGCATCCAAAAATACTTGACACTGCCACCAGCAAAAGTATAATGAAATCGAAAAAAGAGAGAAACACAAAAACAACAAACCTGAGAGCTCAACTGCAAGAAAAGTATCACGTCAAAACGTTTAAAAATGACTCCTTGTTATAAAGAAAAGAAGAATAAAGTAAAAGCAAGGGCGGTGGGATTCACCGACACATCAAAATCACAAAACTCGAAGGCAACAAACAACACTGCACAATGCAAACCAAAGCATAGCAACAGCAAAAGTCGACAGAAACAAAAAATAAAAATGTTTCAAAACCACCAACAAATTGTTTGAAAAATCTCAATACTGACAAAAGCTGCTTGGTTTCGACCCTCGAAACAAAACTGCAAGCAAGTAAAGGCTCTCTCACGAGCGATACCGCACCGATTACCCTGTTGGCACTCTCGGTCAGAATAACTGCATGCTAAAAACTTGAAGCCTGGATTTGAAAAACGCTCAAAACCACCATGTCAATGCTCAATTCAAACACCAGCAAAAGGAGTAAAAATAAAAAAGGGGGCAATTAAAAAGACAAAAAATGCTTACAAAAAAGCCATTGGAAATGTACTCACCGAGCGGGAGTAAAATGTTGCAATAAAAATGTGATATGGCTCAAAATACAGTATGGCGGTTCAAGCCGAAATGCTGTGCCTTTTCTCTAGATCTCTGCCTCCAGCTCGTCATGTGACTGAGTCAGCCTCGACTTCCAGCAATGAAAGCCCAGTGTTGAACAGCTGATGCTGAATGCTCTCCCTAACGCCTTGGCTCTCTCCAAAAGTAAAAAGAGGTAGTCCTTATCGTCCCACAGTTATGACTGAACTGCCTGTGTGTTTTCTTTGGCTTTTTTTTTTTCTCCCGTTTTAAAGATGCAGAGCTCAGTCGATGTCAGCGCCACGGAGGGATCCGGACATGCTTCCATTCCATTCAGAAGCACGAGCGTGTATGCACGGCATGTTCTGTTCTCTTATGAGGAATGAAGGGCTATGCCTGTCGGATTTTACAGTGGGGCTGGTCATCGCAGCGGTAAAATTCCCATACTATAACGCGATCCCTGTCCATGGTGCTAAAATCTGGCGACACTGATAATAAAGCAACGGGATCACAATCACGATACAAAATGTGAAGCATTACATTGAGGAAAAGCAAGTCAAAGTGTCATATTAATAATCTCACCCAGCCCTCTCCATGGTGCTAAAACCAAGGGAATGTTGTGAATGTTAGTAAAAAATAGCTGTGTTATAAATACCATACATAAATTAAGCACATCATAAAGTCAGCATGCATACCAATACTGGAACTATTGGACACATAAATTGAACATTATGCACAAGACTGGAAGAAATGTACAAATTACGTGTCAATAAGAGTTCATTGTGAACAAAGAACATAACTGTTAAGTCTTTGGAAAATCACCTTGCATTCTATGAGCGTATTTCGATTAATTGGAAGTGACATTCATGGTTGCATTTTGATTTGAAGGCATTTACACATATTGTTGTATTTCCTGTTTGTATAAAGCAGTTATTAGTTTATATTTGTATATGGGAAACACAAATAGAGTGAACAAAGACAGTTACTGTATACAAGCAGTAAATAGTGTATGGGATAGACAGAGGCATGGATATGCCATAATATTGCACAGTTCTATCCATGGTGCTGAAACACACAGCACACTGAGAACAAACCATGCTTTCACCACCATATCTCTCGTTTGTTAAAGGATGCTATAACATACCAACAAGTAGAATTTAACCAATGTAATAGTGAATAGTGAATGATGTCAGAGACTAGTCCTGTCCATGGTGCTGAAATTATGATTGGAAATGTTCATTTATTTACTAATTGTTGCATAGTGCATTTTATGTCGAGGACTTTTTAATGTGTCAGATAATATATTTAAGTGATAATAACCATACGTTTCAGACCACATTTGGAATAAATTGGTCAACACATTGAACTATTTAACAATACCAAATGTTTAACACTTTTACAATTCAATACTGTTCAACACCAGCCCTGTCCATTGTGCTTAAACAGAGGGTTGTTGCATAGTTTCAAAAAAACAAACAATTTGGTCTATCTCCGCTGCATTTCTCAGCTGGAAGTTTCAGGAGTATATCAGTAGAAATCCAAGCTGAAATAGCTTATAGTTTTTCATCGCTTCCTACGTCATTGAAGTGTCAATGGCGCTGCCGGAAACAAAGGGCTAGAGTTTTTGAAGCTGCAAACAAAACTGAATACTTTGATCGTCTGTATTTGCCATGGACATTGATTGGACATCCAAAACAATGTGCCCCAATTTCCCTCCTCCATCACCAGGTCCTTAAACTGCAGGGAATGCAGTACATGGAGGACAAATCCCCACCAATATAATGCTGGTTTAATTTGAGCCCTGTCCATGGTTCTGAAATGAGATTATTTTGGCAGATTAAGGACAAACAACATATGGCACTGAATCTGAGTTGTATACTAATATGTTTCATGATTTAGACCATAATAACAGAGTATTATACCTTCAATGCTCTGTCCATGGTGCTGAAACTCGGTGGCTTTCACCCGCACTCAACATAGAAAGACACAGTATTTATATTTGTCTATATTTATGGTTCAGAACTCAAAAAGGCGCACTCCTTCTCACTATCTTTCTCTCATTTTGTTCATAAACACACCTTAAAAATGTAGGCTATAGCTAAATGATGCTGGACAGGAAAGTAATAATGTGTTATCATTAGCGTCTGACTGCAGTTGTCAGACAGAATTCAGATCAAGTTCATGCAGCACACACCGCTGGGGACAACTGTCACCATTCATTCATCATAACGGTGGTTGGTGCACTGTTTCTACCTTAAGCAATGTCTAATTTAATCCACTTTTCAGATCACATCCAAGCCTTTGGGAGGCAGGATTTAAAATGCTTTACAGTCTCTAAAGAGAGCAGTTGATATCCAAGAACAGCGATCAAACACTCAATATCATAATGGATAATCTAGCAAATTATTACATGTTTCTTTTAGCCTTTTAAGTCGCAAGATACTATATGGCATTGTTTTTCAATGTCAATTAGGGTTACATGGTAACAGTGTCATTGCACAGCTGTCTCTGGGCTTATAAACTGAATTTGACAGTCAGCATGTTGTTGTGCAGGACATGTCAGGACATAATTGTTGATGCCGCGGGGTGTTAATGACCTAACCCACTGTCAATGAGGTGATTTACAAAGCTGCAGAGGTTTAACTTAAGACTTGGATGGATAGATAGAGACACCAACACACTGGCAGAGCAAAGGTAACACATTAAATGCTATTAAACCTCAGCCAGCTTGATTCCCTGCAATCCAATATCAACACTCTTTAATAAACCATGACAACTGTTTGAGGTTGTTATTGATAAACAGTCATTTGGCTTCAAATCAACCTTTCTCCCATTTTAATGCTGCATGACTTTTCATGGAAGCTTTGGAAGAGAAATAATTGATGTCCCACCTGACATGATTTATACATATGTGGCCATAAACACGGCAGATGCTGTCAGGTTTTGCAATACACACCCTCCAGGTCTGTGTTTTTTATCAGCCATGCTGGTGCATCAGAAAGAGACTGGCAAGGTTAAAGGAATGCCCTTTATGAATATCTGAAATAAGAAATATCAATCATATCAACCTTTTTGACATGGAGGAGCTCTTTGAATTCACCCTGCATGGCCAAACACACAACGATAAGAAAACATTTTTTTGTGTTTCATTTCAGGACTAAGCTGGATCTCAGTGCACTTGCCAATGGTAGTTTTAAAAATTAAATCAAGTACAAAGCTAAACAGAATCATAATTCATTGCCTGGTATGTGTATGCCCATTAGTAAAACACTGAGCACGGACCACTCATTGCCTTTGGCCATAAACAGCCAATCAGAGGCACAGCTCAAAACATGAGGGCCTCTGGACCTTTCCACACATCCAAAGTGTTTCCTCTCGAGGTGGATTCATCAATATTTGTTAGTACATTATTTATCGGCTGGAATCAAGTGCAACATGCAGCAACACTGAGCAGAAAGAAAACAAATCTAATTATGATTCAGTTATACATCTACTTGTTGTGTGTGTTGTATAAATGACCCCTCTCAGTTATATATTGTATTGGTTAGTGAAAGGATATGGTAATTCTAAGAAGAATATCTAACAACATATAGCATTTTTACGCAGCTTTCTCTGTGAGAATCTGTTTTAAATGGGGTGAACTTTCTATGAAGTGTAGTCACAAGCCTACTTCAATGTAACTGCATGGGATCTTATGACAATTCAAAAAAAATAAAAAATGGGCTGAATGAATATCCTTCATTAAAGCAATGAGAGGATTTGTAATCTTTAATTACCATTTTGTCAAGGAGTCTGCAGAAATGGTGTGGGGATATTTTAATCAAAAATAAATGGAGTGTGCACACATGACTCGAAAGGGATTTAATGCTCATTGCATTAAACGGGTTACATTTACACATCTGAAGCTTCAGGTGGAAGGATTATATCAAATTATTTTAAATGAAAATATATATTTCACATCTCCTGCGTTTGCTAATATCAGCATTGAATATACAGGTTTATTAAAATCATTGCGAGGAAGGCATGCATATTCTAAAAGGTTGGAAATGCTCTTGCGTGGGCTGGGTCAGTTCGAAAAATGTCAGCCAATGCATTTTATTGAAAGGATCTCCCATGTGTCTGTGTGGCACCTTCATTTTCATTCCTGTCAATGGGTGCACTCTGTGAGGGCTGACTGACCCACCGCGGCCTGTGGGACACTGGGCAGGCTCACTGACGCCAACAGTCTTCCTGCAGAAAATCATCATGTTTGACTCTGAGTGGTCTGAGAAACTAAAGAAATATCAGCCTTTGGTAGCCTCTGAGACTAACTGTTTAAGTTTTTAGCTAAACCGATGAAGATTTACTCCATTTTAGGGTTAGGAATCAGAATACCTGCATTCGTCCCACAGAGGGGACATTTACATTGTTCCAGCAGAAAAGAGCCAAAGACAGCTTAATGTTACCTAAGAAGCATGCATACAAAAGTATAAAAGATAAGAAAATTATAATTAAAAAAGTTACACAATTTACAAAATACACATGTAACAGTTCTGAGGATTTAGCAGCCAGGTATATATTGTTATTAACGGCATATATATATATATATATATATATTGCACATATTGCAGTTAGTTGGTTGGTATTTAACAACAAGGGTTGTTATAGTCGGTGTTATTCAACTGGCTAGTTCTTAGATTTGTTCTTAAAGGTTCAATCTTTAAGCATTTCATGAAATCAAACCAATTCAAGTTTTCTATACTTTTTTTCTCCTCCCATATTTTCAACAAATGCCATTCGATTTATTTATATTACCTCTCTATAGTCTAGTAGTTCTCACTGATATTTGGAAACCCGCTATTCCTGGACAGGATTTGAATTGCTTTCAATGTAACAATGCATTGATGTAATTCGAGATTTTACAGTTTTTAATTGTTATCATTGATATCAGCTTTTGCTATTTACTGTTCAGTCGTGTTACTCCATGTCAGAGCAATGCAAATCTAACTATTTCTACTGCGATCATTTCACAATAAAAGCATTCAGCTTGGGTAACAAACAAGGTC